TTCTTCATAGTATCTAGTATGAGGCTATGTTTTGAATTTGTTCTGAAAACAGTGTTGATAATACACTGATGTTTTCGTTATTGTTGAGCAGTGCTTGCACAGAGTCAAGGCGTTTTCTGCTTCTTAAACCACCTGTTGTGGTTTAACCCCAGCCAGTAACTAAGCACCACACAGCCACTCACTCACTCCCCCCCACCCAGTGGGATGGGGGAGAGAATCGGGAAAAAAAAAAGTAAAACTCATAGATTGTGATAAGAACAGTTAATAGAACAGAAAAGAAGAAACTAATAATGATAATAATAACAATAATAAAATGACAATAATAATAATAAAAGAATTGGAATATACAAAACAAGTGATGCACAATGCAGTTGCTCACCACTCGCCAACCACTGCTCAGTTAGTCCCCAAGCAGCAACCCCGCCAGGCCAACTCCCCCCAGTTTATATACTAGCTGGGACATCACATGGTATGGAATACCCCTTTGGCCAGTTTGGGTCAGCTGCCCTGGCTGTGTCCCCTCCCAACTTCTTGTGCCCCTCCAGCCTTCTTGCCGGCTGGGCATGAGAAGCTGAAAAATCCTTCACTTAGTCTAAACACCACTTAGCAACAACTGAAAACATCAGTGTGTTATCAACATTCTTCTCATACTGAATCCAAAACATAGCTACTAGGAAGACAATTAACTCTATCCCAGCTGAAACCAGGACACCACCCCACCAGCAAGGAGGCTGGGGGTGCACAAGATGTTGGGAGGGGACACAGCTGGGACAGCTGATCCCAACTGACCAAAAGGAAATTCCATACTATATGATGTCATACTTCACAAAAGCTGGGGAAAGAAGGAAGGGGGGGACATTTGGAGCGATGGCGTTTGTCTTCCCAAGTAAGCGATATGCATGATGGAGCCCTGCTTTCCTGGAGATGGCTGAACACCTGCCTGCCAATGGGAGGTAGCGAATGCATTCCGTGTTTTGCTCTGCTTGCGCGTGCAGCTTTTGCTTTACCTGTTAAACTTTCTATCTAAACCCACGAGTATCCACGCTTTTACCCTTCCAGTTCTCTCCCCCATCCCACTGAGGGGGAGTGAGAGAGCAGCTGTGTGGTACTTAGTTTTCAGCTGGGGTTAAACCACAATAGTCCTTTAGGACAACTTATTGTCCACATGACCAGTTTGTGTCATTCTAGGAAAATGTATACGAGTTCTCAGTATTAAAAACCCAAAGTTTAACATTGCTGAGAAAGTATGGTCTGATTTTCCAGCACACAGAAATTTTTAATTAGTGGGAATTGTTTGTTGCGTTTTTTTTTAATTCTCTCTCTCTAATATCTTGGCAAGGTAGGAAATCATATAATGAAAGGAAATAAAATGTAAAGCTATAAAAGCAACAAAGCCCAGAAAACAGACGAGAATAAGCATTGGCTGTCTTGGAGAGTAAGGAATGAATTATGTACATTATCTTTTATATATCTAGTTTTTTGGCATAGTGGAACCTGGAAAAGGAAGTCCTCTGGATGAAATAGCTAATTGCTGGGCAATGTGGCATCACTGAATTGCTATCCCATGATGTAGTAAAGCTGCAAATCATAGTCTCATGATGGTCTCCAAGCTATAGACCACAATAAATGTTTTTGCTGTTGCAAGCGACACAAACATTTCCTGCTTTATGTGGTTTTAGATAGCATCAGAAGGTAGCTTCAAACAGACCCAGCTTCCAGAATCTCTGAGGCTGATAAATATACCTTTGGTTAGAAAGTGAAGAAAATAACAAGGAATTATAAGCAAAGTAGAAAGAACTTTGATTCTCAGCAGAGGTTATGTATATCTATGTTTTCCTTTAAAGATAAGATATACTACAGCATTTCATTGCGAGTATGAGGTTCTGGTAACAGATTGAAACTGAGGCTACAAAATTGTCTGATATCCCAAAGAAGGACATTAGCAGAATATTGTGGTTGTAAGGCCAAACATTCAGTCTTTAGGAAATACCAGAATTAATACCATCCAGCTTTGATGTAATAAAAATGGCTGCAATAATGGGAATAGACATAAGATGTTTTTCCAGTGATTTAATAGCACAGCTGTAGAGACACTCAGATGTTCTGGTCTCTTGTCTCACTTCTGGGACTGGATATATTCTAATGGCTCATTTGTTTCTGTCCTCTGCTAGTGCCTGCCCTCTCTTCCTAATTGTCTTCTCCAGGTACTTACCCACCAGCTCTCATCCCCATCTTCCCTTCTTCCACTCTGTGAGACGGTTGCTTAATCTTCAGACCTGCAACCATTTCTTCCTTGCAGCTTTCATTATGGCAGGGGAGCATTTCCAGCAGGCCTTGCATCCTCCCTGTCAGCTGTTGTGCCTTCCCGATGTCTTTCCTCTTGATGGAAATTTAGGTATACATACAAGCACCATGAACAGCATAGCGGAGTTTATAGATGCTCCTTGAATGGGTACCAGTGACATTCAGTAACATGCAATTTTACAGGGAACAGCTTTGTTTTGGTGCTCCAAGGATAAATGCAATGGTGGGAGGAATGAATGCAAGGGGACACATGCTGGCTTGTGTTTCTTGATTGCCTTTCAGAGTTCCATTACAGGGCCTGAACTTGAACCACAGGTTGAAAATTTCTACATTATTGCAGTGCCAGTATGAGCTAAGAACATCTGTATTGGTATCTGTTTCCTTGCATGCATCCCCACTCAAAAAGGAATGATCCTTCAGGTCATCCCTCCATTTACTGCCTTTCTGCCTCACTGTTAACAAACAAGCTGATCTCTCTTAATGAAGATTTAGGATTATTGGTATGAGTTTACAAAGCTTGCTGAACTGGAAATACTCAAGTTCCTGTTTTCCATCTTGTAAATCTTATTCACTGTTTTATAAGCTGTAATAGGCCAGTGACCACATGCATTGCTGGCTACTTTTTGACAGTTCATAATCCCCTTGTAGTTACTGGGCAAAGGCTCAGTGATTTATGGGCTACAGATATTACCCTCACTTCAAAATCTGATGGTTGCCATCAACCTCTTGGGGTGTTCTGGCAATGTGGAATCAACGGGATGCAGATTGCGTATTTCACATCTACATTATGGGAATGACACTATAACTGCTAAGTGGAATGACAAAACCATCCTACACAATGGAGTCCCACAGGGGCATCCAGATCTGTTAAAAAATTCATTTCCTGCCTTAGTTTGTCCTTGAGTGATCTGTCCACATATGATATTCAACCCTGAATATCATCCAGCGATGCAACACGTCGTCTTTAGCACTGGCTGAAAGGTGAATTGGCAGCCTATTTTGTGTGCTGCGGGGGTCCATTTCAGTTTCATATGGTACAGAAGACGAAGCTGAGGAAACAAGATACTCACTGACCACATTTGTCTCTTTGCAGTCAGTCTCTGGAACTGTCCAGTGTAAGCGTTGTTTCTTAGCTGTGGTGTTTTTGTTGTGTATTTTCTAAAAACCCAGGGGAAAACTCTTCACCAACTCTTTAAATACTCAGTCACAGGTGATGGCGAACAGCAGTGAGTGAACAGCTGTATTGTGTGAAAATGTCTCACTAGAGTTGTAATGCCACATGTTATTCTAAAGAAACCTGGAGACCGTTCATCAATCACGTACTGTCTGCTCCCCTTCAGAAAAGGCCTGAAACCATTAAACGTGGTGTCAAAGATTGTGACTGAGGTACACAGTAAGGCAGAAGGGCTTTCTAAATCCAAACCTTGTTTTGAAATCCTGACAGAGAGGTTACGACTCTGGCAGTGTCGCCGTCCAGTTTATTGGTCCCCCAGGACCAAGCTAAGAGGATGGTCTGGCAGGGAGGCTGTGCTCCCTAGTAGGCTGTGCTGGCAGCTTCGTCCCCTGCAGCCAGACCCAGGCAAGAGGTGGCCTTCACATAAAGTCACAGCGTCTGGCTCTGGCCACGAAGGGTATGGCTATGGCTCTCCTGCCAGGCACCCACAGCAGCAGGCTTCTTGTGTCAACCTGCAAGCGTGGAAGCAGCAGGAGGTACAGTCCCTGCTCCGCTCCCTCTCGTCTGCAGCCCCAGCACCCAGCACTGTTAGCTGGTGTCTGGGTTGGACAAACTGTCCAGAATATCTAGTGTCATTACTGCTTGCTGTGCATCCTTGCTGGCAATTTTTATTTGAACTAACTAATGATTAACGGGGGTGCTCTGCTTAATCCTGCTCAATGATACTGAAGAGAAGAAGAAGCAAGCAAGGCACAGCAAGATCCTTTTTGTAGCACTGTAAGTACCCTTTTAGTTTTCCCTTGGCTCATTTGGACATTTCATTTTGGGGGATTATGTTATTGCCTCGGAAGGGCACCTTTTTCCATGTAAACAAAGGGATGTAACTGTCATGCAAAAAATCAAAACATGCCAAAAGCCAGCAAGAACTGGCTGCTAGGGAAGAGGATACTTCACATAATCAAATAAAAATTTGTTCTGGAAACAATAGAGATGCCTATAGACTTTGCTACCACAGTGATCCAATATTTTATCTTTGAAGAAACTGTAAAAGTATTTTGTAATTTTGGTCCTACACAGTATGATCTATGTTTATATCACATTTTTGTTTAACACAGAATTAATTCTCTAATTATTTGATGAATTGAGGAAGACTAACAGGGCTGCAGTAGCCATCCTGCAGTACTGAGTACAAAAACAACTTCTACCAGTTACTCTGGGGAAAAGGTCATAAGCTTCCAGTTATTTGCAAATTTTAAAAAATTCAGTCTTACCCTGTTCTTTAAAGGATAATATGATCAAAATGACCTCTTTTGAGATAGTACTTGGTTATACAAATAGTGTATCAGGAGGCATATTTTTTCTGGGAATCACTGGCATGCATCAGGAGTGTGAAATATGAAGCGTGGGATTTTGGAAAACCGGTGTGTTCTGAGATCCTCATTTTACTTGGCTGGAGCACACAGCATGAAGAGATTAATTTCCATGCCATGTTTTGTATGTCTATCTCTTTTCCAGAAACAGTTAAAAGGAAAATGAACCCCACCTTCTCCTTGTGTTTATTGCTGGCTGGTTTGCATACTGTTGCCCAGTGTCATCAGCATCCTCGCTACCGCAATAAGCAGGATGATCCTAAAGGGACATATTACCCAGGACGCAGTTCTCATGGGGAAGGAGTTTATCCAGTTAACAAAACCTTTGTCAAACTCGTTCCCAGCAATGCTGACTTTGCATTTTCATTTTACAAGCTGGTCGCATCTGAAGCAACAGATCAAAATATTTTCTTTTCACCCATAAGCATCTCTGCTTCCTTTGCAATGCTGGCACTTGGTGCCAAGTCAGCGACACTGACGCAGATTCTGGAAGGGCTTGCCTTTAACCTGAAAAAGACTCAGGAGCAGGAAATACATGAAGGCTTTTGCCAACTCCTCCACATGCTGAACCGTTCAGACAGTGAGCTCCAGCTGAGCCTGGGCAATGCCCTTTTTATAGAAGAGACGCTAAAACCACTACAGAAGTTCTTGGATGATGTCAAAAGCTTTTACGAATCTGAAGTCTTTTCTACTGACTTTAACAACTCCTCTGGTGCTGAGAATCAGATCAACAGTTACATTGAGGAAAAGACAAATGGGAAAATTGTTAAACTAGTGGAAAATCTTGATCCTCTCACTGCAATGGTTCTTGTTAACTATGTCTTCTTTAAAGGTAAGAAATATCAAAGTGTGTGAAGGTTGTAACTTAGATGCTTAGTGCTTACTACAGGGAATGAAAACTTAAGAGAAAGAAACTGTAGTTTAAATATTTTAAATGGAGGAAACCATGTTCAGTATCTGGAAAATGTTGCTATAAAACCATGTATACTTGTCGTCGGTATAAATATGTCCGCACCTGGTTAAGTGAAAGACTGGGGTTTTTTTTAACAAATATCTTTGTTGAGTTTGGTAAATTCTTTAATGTGATTATAGACTCATGCTTTAGTGAAAGATGGTGTTTTCAGTATTATCTGCCTGTAGTTGTCTTTAAGCACCTGAAAGAATAATAATAATAAAAAAAAGAGCTGCAATGCTGTAACACCTGAGAATGCAGTACCCTGAAAAAGATATTTGCTCTAATCAAAGGAAGGCTGTGGGACTAAATCCTGTTTTATTCACCATGTCCATTCCTCTTTGTATTCCACTGAATTATTTTCTTTTTGTCATAAGCCCATTGGGAGAAACCCTTCAGTACTTCATATACAAAACAGGAGGATTTTTTTGTGGACCAGAAAACATCTATAAAGGTTGACATGATGTATCGAAAGGGTTACTACAGAAATTACTTTGATGAAGAGCTGTCCTGTTGGCTGGTTCAGATACCTTACAATGGAAAAGCTGCAGCATTATTTGTTTTGCCCGACGAAGGGAAGATGAAGCAGGTGGAAGATGCTCTCTTGAAAAGGACTGTATCTAAATGGGAAAAGTTCCTCCAAGACAGGTAACTGTTTTTGCTAAGGTAAGAGATGACCAACATTATAGATTAGTAGTGTTCATCTTACCAAGACAAAACATTAAAGGCCAGGTTATTTTACTGAACTCTATTCACTTAATGGTCCCTCTCTGTGCAGGACTTTCCTTTTCTTAGTTGGAAAATGAAAAAGAGCTGTGAGTAATGAACAAATAGGGCATTGAACATGGGATGCATCTTGGGTTAAGTTCCTGGCTCTATCACATGTTGCTTAGCACCATGATGAAGTTACCAGACCCCTGTTTCATATGGGCATTGTGAAACTACAATGGAGTAACTATTGGGTGTTAGGGTGTTGAGGGCATTGTATGTAAAAGTGGAAATTTTATTAATTCACGATTACTGCAGCTATTTCTGTCGTGGCCCAAGCCCTGTTGTATATTTGAACAGCCTTAGGACAGCTAGCTATGATCTTTTGAAAAACACCTGCTACCTGGCAGTAGTAGCTCTGTTTGCCACAGAGTTGGTATGGTTGTGTCTTCCACCCCACTCCTTGAACCATACTGTGGAGGCAGAGGATAACGAGCTCATTCTGCTCCAACCCTCCACGTTAGATAGCTAACCTGGTCAGAAGTGCTATCTGAACCCTGAGAGCAGACTTTTAACATTTAGAGAAATAAATGTGAAGTGTCACTATACTGAAGCCATTGAGGAGTGTTACCTAGATGACAGTTTGTCTGTATTTGTGTTGTTACAGAAAAATACATCTGCACATTCCAAAATTTTCTATTTCTGGTACCTATGATGTGAAAAGGATAGTCAAACAAGTGGGTATGGTTGATCTATTCACTGAACAAGCTGATCTGTCAGGGATTACTGAGGAGCCTGGACTGATGGTTTCAAAAGTAAGTCAGCACGTGAAACACAGCGACCACAGGATTTCTTTGTTCCCAGGAACCTGACATTAATATCCCATGAAAAGCTTATCCCAGTCTCTCTGAAGCATCACTCAATCATCAACAGCTGCCAGCCTGGAAACAAAGCAAGCCCTATCTTTCCTAAACCTGAAGCCACACATGCTTACAAGGGGTTATACATACGTGGTTCGAGAAGGAAGAAGACATACGTATAATTAAATGTTCTTTTGGCTACTAAACAAAATTATCTAAAGGTAGCACATTAGCTTTGGTAAAATTTCCTCTAATTCTGCCTACAGAGGGCAAAAGGCTGTTATTCCTGCCCTTCTAGTGCCCTCAAAAAGTTATTTTTTTCAGCTAGATGATAGGGTAAATTCACAATAATACATGAAGCTGCCAAAGGCAAAACTAAGTCTAGGCTAAATTACCAGGTTCCTTTGCTTCTAGAGTTTCTTGCGATCAGTCATCTTGAGTGCTCTTTGGCTGTCTGCTGTTTGAGGGTTACTCTCTGCACACGCAGTGAAGGAGGGTAGCAGGAGTGGGCTGATGGCTGATTGCACTGCAGTGGGAGGGGGAGCGGCTGGTGATGACCTTCCCAGAGGCTGGTGCTGCCGGGTCTCGCCCCAGACAGGGCTCCCTTTGGCAAGAGCAAGGAGGGTGACAGGCTGCTCTAGTCTTGCTGGGTTGTCAGCTGGAGGCTGTTTTGCTGTGTGTCCTTGCAGGTGATCCACAAAGCCGTGCTGAATGTTCATGAGAATGGCACTGAAGCAGCGGGGGCCACAGTGAAGGAGGTTACCTGGAGATCTGGCGATTTTCCTCACCCGCCTCGAGTCAGATTCAACAGGCCCTTTCTCCTGGTGATTCTGGATAAATACACCCGCACCATCCTCTTCATAGGGAAAATTGTAAACCCTCTGAAAAATGACTGATTGACCAGAGGACATGCACTTAAGCACATTGCTGGCTAAATTCCCATGATCCAGCAAAATATTTGTGTGTGCATACCACATTGTACTAGTGCTCATCTTTCAGCCATTATCCTTATATACATTATTAACCCCTGAAAACACAGAAACTGTTTTTCCTTGTCCAAAAGTGACTGGTATTTCCTCCAGTCTACAGCCAGGTATAGCTGGTAGTGTTAATGAAAGACAAGTCACTTTTCACCAGTTTTGTAACAAGCCCTTCCTGACATGCTCTCATGGGGTATTTGAGATGGTTCAAAGTCTCTGGATGATGTAGCTATTGCTGTACACTCACAGTGTGTGTACAGGAGAGCGGGAGAAGGGAAGCAGGGAAAAGGAGGTGCGAGGTATAAGTCCTGCCTGTTTAATCCACTAACCTTTGATGACTAGTCTTAAATGCAGATTCCCTTACTATCGAAGTGAATTTCCATTAATTTCTTTGGTTTTTAACCAAGTATGGTGTGAAGCCGCAGGATCAGTGACCAGGACACTGGAGGACACACCGATGTAAAGGGTTGATGAGTGCAGGTGGTTTAGCTTGCCTCCCTCTCCTCCCCAGTGGAAGCCCTTCTCATGGAGACAAGAAGGTTGTTTTTGATTTACAAATAATGTTTATTCTACTAAGGAAGGAAGACATACCAGCAAAAAGACTTTGTTTTAAGACTTTGTTTTATCTTGCTAATATAGCTATTATTGCCAATGCCCTGAGATAAGTGTGGTGGAGCAGTCTGTGACAAAGCACCAGTTTCCTTTTTATGGATTTGTTGTCACTGTCATTTCTCTTTTCTCCTACTGATGCCACCTTCGCTACCACACTTTTCAGCTAGATTTTTTAGACTGTGGTAGAAAAGAGGAGGAATGAAAAATTATAACTCCAGAGAGTTTATGTTTCCTCAGCAGGAACAGCAGAGCTTTCCTAGGGACTGTTAACCTGCTTTAAACTATCATAGACACACATGCAAAATGCAGGTGATATTTGAGAAGTCACCTTTCTAAATGTTAACAGTGGATTACTGTTACAGAGTAAAAACATATTGTGAATTGACATTTGTACCTTTTCACTTAAGGTTTCTCAAGTCTAACTTATTGCTATTGTGTGTTTTATACTGACTCAATTGGTAGGATTTTCACATACCAGCTACACTAGATAGTTGTGCGGTTATGAAAGGAAAGAAACACAAATCAGTAAATATATAAATTATTTTATCATTTTTTCTTTAATTTTTTAAACCAACATCCTTAGCATGGCTTATTAAAATACAGAAAGCCAATGAAAGTACTTAAATTACAGATTCATTAAATCTCTTTCTATAGAGTATTTCAAACCAGTAGAAAAAAATGTAAAAAGCCTCTTAAAATGTCTGTGAAAAATATAACCCAAAAATTATGGTGAATATTCTAAAATATAATTGTCTTGATTGGTTTGGGGATCTTTATTTTCTTTGACATTAAATTAATGCTATCAATATTAGCAAATTGTAGCTGTAAGTATACAAGTAGGGAATATAAGGAATAACCTTCCCATGTCTATCTGCTAGCTATGTAACACTTGACATTCACTCTCAAAGCCCTCCTGAAAATCATGTAAACCATTGACAAAAGTTTCTTACTCATAATTGTATTTAGTCTGTTCAATATTTAGTAACAAACAGTTGGCTTCATACCTCTAAGCATAAAAGGACTTAGTCTTGGTGCAATACAGATAAACTGATTCTACAGAAGATCATTTAAAAGTTCTTGGCAAATCTCAGGGCTAATTCAGGACAGTATGCCAAAGTCCAGCTTTGCAATGACAAATGACTCCATAGGCAAATACCAAGAGACTTTATGTTTGTTGTTCCTCACGGACCTCAGATCAATAGTCTCTATTTGTTAGTAGGAAAAAATATCTAAATGATATTTTGCCAATCAGATCTCACTTTGAGGGGCAACCTTGTTGCTCAACTCATTTGAAAGTGGGTGGAGAAAAATCAAGCTGAATTAAGAACTACATAACCCAGAAATATCATATTGGTAGGCAATCACCTTCAAATGGAAGTAGGGACCCCTTACATGCATCTTGCCTTGGTTTTCTTTCTATTTTGACTAAAATCAGGGAATGCCTCTCGATGGAAATGTGCAGCAGACAGCAAATTTATGCTCTAAATAAAGGGTACAGACGGATTGCACAATCCCCCCAAAGCTGAGCCTTAAGGTTGTCACAAATCCAGCGCAGCCATGGTTTATTCAGGACAGTGTTTCTTCTTTCAATCTGCTGCGTTTTTTGCTTCTTCTTTCCTGGATTTTTGTTTCTTGGTTTGCTTGCTGACTGTGAATTTTGTGACCAAGAAGCCTCAGTGCAACAGAGGAAGGATTTTCCTCCTAGCTAGTCAAGAGTTTCTGCTGCTGTGTGCAAGTACTGTGGTGCACCACTTCAATGCAGTGGCGCTGCTGGAGGATGGAGCTGGCCTGATGAACCACCTGAGGGACAAAATGCAAAGGACATCTTCTAACCCAGCCTGCACTGAATCCTCCGCACAAATCTGATATGGGAGTGCATGCGACTATGCGCGCGCAGGAGCTGCAGCCTCAGCACTGCCTAAGTGGACCCTAAAAGAAATCTGTGATGGTATGGCTGAAAGTAGTCTTCTGTAAAGGCTGTTTTAAGTTAACAGCCATAGAAGAAGAATTGCCAGCACAGCAGAAGCTTCGGAACAACACACACTGAGCAGCTAGCTTTCTGAAGTAATGAGAAAAGGAAAATACGCGTTGTGGGAATAACAGTAAACTGTGTATTCGTTGTCATAACCGGGAAGGAAATATCTAAAGAAGTGAAACAAAGTCTAAAAGCATAAATAAGGAGCTCAGAAACCAGGATTATCCATGGTGGAGAGAGATTTAACCCTTACGTACAAACTATGTGAAGATCAAAAGACATTGTAAGAAAACTAGCAGCAATTTTGAATAGTGTTACAGATCGCAAAAGAAGGAACAAGCAAAAAGATGCGAAGTGTATATGGGTGTAGGGGCAGAGAGGGAAATAATATGCTTGAAGTAAGTCAAAGAAAATAACGTATTTCAAACAGCCAGTGGTTAGCGCCAATGCGCAGGTCTGTCATTGTTCCCAGTGTTGTGCTGCATCTGCTAGGAAGAAACTAAAGGCATATAACGTAAGCAACAGCCTTAAAGGTCATAGGGTGAAAAGCAAATTGCATATTCTGCTGGAAAGACCTACTAATGCTCTGTTAAATGTAAGCACAAATAAGAACCCATATTTTGACAATGGTAGAAGGCACAGACTGCTCAATAACAAAAATCCCTGACAAAGCTGAGGCACATAGTTCTGATGTCAGTGTATCCTCATCAAACAGGAGATATCATTAATCATACTATAATTTAGGGCCTTTGCAAAGTAATCACCTTTTAAATTGTTTTCTAATATATAACAACTAAATAGTCACATCTTGTTAGCATTGTTTTGTTACTGAATAACCTATTATGTTCTTGTACTGTACGATATAGTTCTTTTTGCATGTCACTCAGGACATAATGACAAAGAAAAATTCTAGCAAGGTATAAAAAGTTCTGGTGGGGATTGACCCCATGATACTTCAGGGATGGTGGGGTAAGAGTCTCCCCTTAATAACAGCATGCTTTTCCTGGTGCTCATCATTGATCAGCACACCCACTTCACTATCTTAATGGGAAAATAGTTAGCCCTGCAGGAAAATAGTGCCATTCATGTCACAGACCTATCACTTGGGGGTGTCTGATTTCTCAAGATCAGGTGCCATGTATTTCATTATGTATTCAGAGTCTAGCAATTGTCACACAATTAGTAATTAACAGATATTCCTGGGCAATACTATGTGACTTTCTCAGCTCTAGAAGAACTCGGTGATTATTCAGGGCTGAAAACCTGGCTTCTATTGCCACCAAGAACTTGGCAGCTATGAAGGTGCTGTGGCCAAGATCCATACAGCCAGTGTCCATCATCTGCTAATCACACTAATGCCTAGACTCAGGAAGCCCTTGTGAGAGATGTATTGCTGAAGGCAGTGCTCTCCTGCAGCCTTCACAGAGCCTTGGCAACCCCAAATACCACATGCGTACCTCTGGCATATGTCAGATGGAGTTACCAGCAGCATAATCACCTATGTGAGGTATGGTTGGGGCTCAGAAAGGGGCATCTGAAGGCATCAACAGTTTCATTGTTGTAATGGATCTAGAAAATGTTTTCTGGAATGGAGTGTATTTAATTGTACCACTGGCTGCTAAGAGACTGCAAAAGCCAGACCAAAACAAATGAGTGCATTTCACACAAGCATTTCCAAGCCTTTTTAATGGAGAGCCATAATGTTAACTTAGTAATCCTGCTATACATTAGATTCCTGGCTTGTGCTCTGTCATTTGGCCAGGAGAAAAAATATCTGCAGGGAAGAATGGAAGGTCCGTGGTTATTTGACTCCTGCAAAGGCTTGGCAAAGAGTTGTATTTCTCTTCTTCAGACACAACATAGTTTGTTCATTTTTGTCTTACATATAACATGATATTTCTTTCCTATTAGGAAAATATATATGAAGACAGTACAGTATCATGATAATTGGATGTTGATGCACACAGGGAAATCAATCACTAGAAGTACTGTTGCCTTTTACTCCTTTACTTTTCTTGTTTGAAACTTCCCTCCTGTGCATGCTGAAGTTTACATGGTTCCAGGCTTTGGCTGCAGCTTTCTTCCGGATAAAGATTCACAGGATGCTTTTCCTGAGGACCAGTCTGGTTTCTCAAAACTGCTTCCAGATTATGGCCTCAGAGGTTGAAGTTACAGAGCTATCAGAACATCTTACTAGCTCTTCCTACTTCACCTTTCCAGGAATAGCCACATGCTTCAACATCCAGAAATCTAAGATTGCCATAAACCAGAAACAATTTCATAAGTCAGAAACGATTTCAGTCATAAACCATTTCAGTCTGGGGAAAAGGGCTGGGA